TCCCTTGACCCCTCACTGGATCAGCCTATGCTACTCAAAACAGTCATCTTTAGTCAGATGTACAGCCCTTGAATGAGGGGGGATAGGGGAAGTCCGGACTCCCTTGACCCCTCACTGGATCAGCCTATGCTACTCAAAACAGTCATCTTTAGTCAGATGTACAGCCCTTGAATGAGGGGGGATAGGGGAAGTCCGGACTCCCTTGACCCCTCACTGGATCAGCCTATGCTACTCAAAACAGTCATCTTTAGTCAGATGTACAGCCCTTGAATGAGGGGGGATAGGGGAAGTCCGGACTCCCTTGACCCCTCACTGGATCAGCCTATGGTACTCAAATTTGCTAAAGAACAAAACAGTCATCTTTAGTCAAAGGAGGGAGTCCGGACTCCCTTGACCCCTCACTGGATCAGCCTATGCTACTCAAAACAGTCATCTTTAGTCAAATGTACGGCCCTTGAATGAGGGGGGATAGGGGAAGTCCGGACTCCCTTGACCCCTCACTGGATAAGCCTATGCTACTCAAAACAGTCATCTTTAGTCAAATGTACGGCCCTTGAATGAGGGGGGATAGGGGAAGACCGGACTCCCTTGACACCTCACTGGATAAGCCTATGGTACTCAAAACAGTCATCTTTCGTCAGATGTACGGCCCTTGAAAGAGTTGAGTAGTATGTCACAATACATATCGTTCCACCCCACAAACATACAGAACATTACAAACTCTCCATTGATGTAACACTGACAATTGGCAATGTGTATTTGGCTGCAAACTTAATCAGCCACTGAATGAAATTGTTAGGATATTGAATGAACAACACACTTGGCAAATTCTAGGCAACACCACAAGCAATTAAATTACCTCAACAAGTTCAAAATGTAAACAAGAACAACAAAAGTCAACATCAAACCTTACATAACTTACTTCTCCTCTCACACAGATGAAGGAAATAATTTATGAAAGGCATCAAATATCGGAATATTTCACAGGTAACAACAGTATGCAAAAGCTGATATATTTTGATTTTCTTCACACGACTAATTATCAAAGCCGCCACACAAAGTTGAGAGGAAGCACTACTGGCTGCTCTAATGTCCATAGCTCCTGATGAGCATCAGGGACAAACACCACCAATCAAAGTACCATATTCGACGTAATAAGCACCCAAGGCACTCTCAAAATTAGAAAAAGGGGGCTCTTATTAGAATATTATTTTGGTGAAAAACAGGAGTTGAAAGATAAATTTCGTGGTTTATGCTGACAGCCTGACAGATATATTTTACTAGAATTTAACTGCCCCTAATTAAGGGTGTATATAACACACGAGTGCATATTATACACGAATAAATAAGTCTTGTGTACATTGATCAATCGGAAGGGGTGCTAATTGGGATTGTTCACTAGCCAATATATTAGCCAATATCGCTGTGGGCATTTATTACTTCGAATACGGTAGATACAATGGACTCCTGACAATAGTCTTGCACATATCAGTGCTACCACAAACATAAGCTTGATTTGAGTGGAGGAGAAGGAGGAGGAGGAGGAGGAGGAGGAGGAGGAGGAACTATGTAACACAGACGTTGGGGTCTCTATGTGTTTGTCAGCAGTCTCTCCTCAACATACCCTATAGTTCATACAGAACTTGACTTGGGCCACCATGTTCAAGGCATTTTAAGGCCTTTTCATTGATCACTTTGCAAAATTTATACCAGATTTATTTGGACATTTGAACAATCTTACTTAATTTCAATGTCATCATATGTCTCCACATATCTCCATTTGTACTTCAATTACACTATCTAGGCGTAAGTTTTTCCAAATGTTATATATCGATGAAGTCACAGATTATTCTTTGGAAGCATGATGCCATCATCCATTAATAGAGACAACCTTTTTGTGTTGGTTATTTAACAGCACAGTAAACAATGGTTCAAAGGGATTTAATGTAATATAAGGCTTTTTCATTTCAGAATCAAACTTAAGGCTTTTGCAAGGCCAGAGAGCCTTCGTGAACCTTGACGAGACTCTGCACTGAGGGATTGAAACAGCGTCAGGAGGGGGCGAACTGAAGGCCGACAGTGGGAAATTTACTACCCTCTCATGGTATGAATGAGTGAGTTGGTTCTAAGTTGCTTTGAACATGACTCCAGTTATATCATGGCATGTCAGCTTGATATGGGAGGAAAGCCTGAAGTGATGCAGGTCTCAGATGTTTACCACTTTGGTGAAACCAACGAGCATGTGTATGGTGCTGACAAACCTAGAAGAATCATCGGGGCAAACCAGGATTTGAACCCATGATCACAGGTGTCTGGTGTCCCCAGGGGAAGCAACTCTGCACAGCGAATTGCGTCACATTAGACAACATGGCCATCTGAGCCCCCGTAGGGTATGACGGGACACGACAGAGTGTCAGCAAGAGACAAGACAAGACAAGAGACAAGTGAGTGAGTGAGTATTGTTTTACGCCGCTTTTAGCAATATTCCAGGAATATGTTGGCGGGGGACACCAGAAAATGGGCTTCACACATTGTACCCATGTAGGGAATCAAACCAAGGTCTTCATCGTGCCAAGAATGGACAAGAATGGGGTACATGGGGGCTATTCAATATCTTAACAGAACTAAAGAATGCATAAGCATTAAAAGTAAGAGTTTCACGGTGGGAAAAGCACTGTTTAGGGTACAGGAGTCCATTATATCACAACAGTAGATACCAACCATGTGCATGACATCTTCAATATCAGTAAAAACGTATCTGACCAAATTAAAAACACTGTACATTAAGATAACCCCAACTTATGAAATAATACTGACATCACATGACCGTCATGTGACAATCTTTGGTAAAGTACTGATAGAGAGCTAGTCTATCTGAATCTGCATTGATAAACAGTACATGAAATGTTATGGCACCAAAGTATTTTGAATTATGTACACATTTTCAAAGATAAATATATCGTTAGGAAGAGACTGAATCTGAACATGAAAATACTGATGAAATTGTCTAAATCAATTAGATAATTCTACATGATGAAATTATTCTCATAAAATGGAACATTAGGCTTATAAAAATAATAGAACTGGTTCTCAGGCAATAACTTTTGAAAATATAGTGCGGGCGGACGTTTTTTTTGTTTTTTTCTTGTTCAAACTGATATGTAACCAAATAAACAGTTGTGTACCACCTAGGAAAGGGCCTCCCTACATAAACAGCATACAAACTCCCATTGCAGCCATGACCAAACACGAGATGCGCAGTAAAGCAGTGTGGATGTAAAGGGAAGTAACTGTGTGCTATTTTTGATCGCATTGTTTTTAAGTATTTTTGTTGTTTAAATTTTTTGAAAATGGAAATAAAAACGAAACATGTGAGGACTTTGTGATGATGCGGGCGGTGGCTGAGAACCAAGACTATTATTTTTTTTAGCCATATACTTATTGCTTCCAATCACTTAACATCATCAAATAGCTCTGCAGCCATTTCAAAATATTACTGAGCAGTGCTATAGTGGGACAATTGTGCACAATTCGGTGCCACCTCCAAGTGAAGGCGTTGAAATTAATGCCTTGTGCAAACTAAGAAAGTATTGTTTGTTAATTAGGGTCAAAGTTGAGTGACTTGTCAAGCACACAAAGTGTTGCCAAAAGACTTGAATCAAAGGTGCTGGGACTGCAATTCTCTGAGCCTTGTCCCCTCCTCAAAGATCTAATCTAATTATCCAAATACTGATCAACAGAATACATATTCCTAAGGGCTGGGACGGGGAACTTGGGTTTCCGGGTCGGGTGGGTACTGAGTAGGACCCAGGGTACCAACACGACTACTCGGACCCGTGGTTAGTCACGTGATATATTGTTTAATGACAAATATTATCAAGAACTCTGTGGTTAAACTACAAATCATGAATGTTCACATTTCTTTCTGACTATGCACCCATTCTTTCTGACTATTCATATGGTTGAATAAAGATATGACTTCAGGCAACTTCAGTGTATGCATGACCAGATTGTTTAATACATGTGCCTAAATACGTTTTGCAAGGGATATGGTAAAAAAATTACCTATCCCTTGAGACCTACAGGGGGTACCCGGGTAGGGTCGGGTAATAGGGGGGTGGGTACCCGGCTAGTAAATTTGGACTTGTCCCAGCCCTAATATTCCTGTTAATTGTCACAATACTGTAGCGGACATATTGTTACACAAAATAAGCCATCTTACAAGTTCAGGGCAAGAAATAGTATTCTTGCAAAATTAACAATACAGTGAAGAGCTGAAAGGTTCTCAAGAGCTACTAATGTTTATCAAAATGACCTTTTGTTATTATATTAGAAGACAAAAAAATATCTTCCCCTTCATTTGTAAACAACATACTGCAAGTACATAAATTTACGTCCTGTAATATTAGTTAAGTTTTCATTTACAACAGATTCATAACAATTTACTTACACTTATACAACAGAGACAAGTTCTATATTTATCATCACTTAAATGACACTACAGTACATATGCTTCTGCTATCTATATGTGTAGCCCATGTTGGTAAGTTCGACTTCATACACCTACAAGTCTATCTGACGACTGAACAGAATAGTGAGTGAGTGAGTTGGCTTTTATGCCACTTTTAGCAAAGATTTGCACATTGTACCTATGTTGGGATTGAACCCGGGTCTTTGGCGTGACGAGCGAATGCTTTAACCACTAGGCTACCCCACCGCCTACTGAACAAAAGAAGGACTGACAACAGGATTACTGAAAGGAAGAATATTATTTCACCAACACACGCAAAAACAACACAAGAACGCTGATCTCTTCTCAGTCCATCAACTTAGTAGTGAGTGAGTGAGTTGGGTTTAACGCTACTTTTAACATTATTCCAGTTATACTGTGGCGTGTCAGCTTAATGTGGGAGGAAAGCCCGAAGTGATGCAGGTCTCAGACGTTTACCACTTCAAAGAAACCCACGAGCACGGGTATGGTGCTGACAAACCTAGTAACATAATCGGGACGAACTGGGATTCAAACCCACAATCATAGGTTTCTGGCGTGCAAAAGGGACGCAACTCTGCACAGCATATAGGAGCACCTTAGATGACTGGGCCACCCGTGCCCCCTCATCAACTTAGTAGATAAACATGTGCTGTCAATTCGGCAATGTTATTGATCAACAGTCAGCGACAATTCTAGTTGTGGAACAGAAGCAACTTAAACCGACAAATGTTCCTTGAAATGTGAGTCTTGCTAAATATAGGATATATCTTTTGACAACTGAGACTTTCAACATCTAACAATCACACCTTCACGTGTTATAATTAGTCCAGAATCTTTTGAATCTTACAGAACACTTCACACTGAACGAATTATACTGCGACTTACGCCAGTTGTAACTCATACTTCAGCATAGACTTACACCAGTTGTAACTCTCATACTTCAGCATAGACTTACGCTAGTTGTAACTCTCATACTTCAGCAAGACTTACGCTAGTTGTAACTCTCATACTTCAGCATAGACTTACACTAGCCGTAACTCTCAAACTTGAGCAAGACTTACGCTAGTTGTAACTCTCACACTTCAGCATAGACTTACGCCAGTTGTAACTCTCATCCTTCAGCATAGACTTACACTAGTCGTAACTCTCATACTTCAGCATAGACTTACGCTAGTTGTAACTCTCATACTTCAGCATAGACTTATGCTAGTTGTAACTCTCATACTTCAGCATAGACTTACGCTAGTTGTAACTCTCATACTTCAGCATAGACTTACGCTAGTTGTAACTCTCATACTTCAGCATAGACTTACGCTAGTTGTAACTCTCAGACTTCAGCAAGACTTATGCTAGTTGTAACTCTCATACTTCAGCATAGACTTACGCTAGTTGTAACTCTCATACTTCAGCATAGACTTACACTAGTCGTAACTCTCATACTTCAGCATAGACTTACGCTAGTTGTAACTCTCATACTTCAGCATAGACTTACGCTAGTTGTAACTCTCATACTTCAGCATAGACTTACACCAGTTGTAACTCTCATACTTCAGCATAGACTTACGCTAGTTGTAACTCTCATACTTCAGCATAGACTTACGCTAGTTGTAACTCTCATACTTCAGCATAGACTTACGCTAGTTGTAACTCTCATACTTCAGCATAGACTTACACCAGTTGTAACTCTCATACTTCAGAATAGACTTACGCTAGTTGTAACTCTCATACTTCAGCATAGACTTACGCCAGTTGTAACTCTCATCCTTCAGCATAGACTTATGCTAGTTGTAACTCTCATACTTCAGCATAGACTTACGCCAGTTGTAACTCTCATACTTCAGCATAGACTTATGCTAGTTGTAACTCGCATACTTCAGCATAGACTTACGCTAGTCGTAACCCTCATACTTCAGCATAGACTTATGCTAGTTGTAACTCTCACACTTCAGCATCGACTTACACTAGTCATAACCCTCATACTTCAGCATAGGCTTACGCTAATCGTAACTCTCATACTTCAGCATAGACTTACGCTAGTTGTCACTCTCATACTTCAGCATAGACTTATGCTAGTTGTAACTCTCATATTTCAGCATAGACTTACGCTAGTTGTAACTCTCATACTTTGGCATAGACTTACGCTAGTTGTAACTCTCATACTTCAGCATAGACTTACGCTAGTTGTAACTCTCATACTTCAGCATAGACTTACGCTAGTTGTAACTCTCATACTTCAGCATAGACTTACACTCGTTAAATTTAACGGTGACAAGACAAAACAGGTAACTGACAAATTACCAAATATAGTGTTTTCCTACTCACTACTTATCACAATCATACAAGTAAAACTGTAAAAAACTTAAACGTTTCATTTAAACCACATCAACAGAAAATCTTATATCGACACATCATACAAAAAACTGAATCATTCAATCATTATTTTGCACAATATCAGTTATTATTTGTTGGCTTCAAATTTCTTACAGATCTTTTTTACTTTCAACCAAATGTTACACACATGGGCAAGCGCTCGTCTCTGGAGAACATTCACTTTTCAATTGAAATGGAATGCCGTTCTCTAATGGTAATGTTGTCACTGTTTGTTGTGAGCTAACGCAGTATTACCATGACAAGACCACATGAAAACAACCACATTGCTTGAACTGAACAATATGGTACAAACACAACTGAAATACATGACTAAAACGTATATGGCGCCAAGTCAAAACATAATTTAGAATTATAGCTGACTGCAAAAGTACATACTTTGATTTCACCAAAACGGGGCAGATTTCTGATGTTAATATAGGAAAGGGGCACAACTCTAGGTGACATATGAACTCTTCAGTCTGGAAGTCTGAATCGTCTGCAAGCCTTGACCTTCACAACAGTTCAGTGTTTGAATTTGTTTTTTTCAACCACAAATGAAAGCACTACTGACCAGGCATGTCTATAACACAGACATGCGACTGGACTATCCATCCAACCGGCTAGTAGGTGTCAGCACTGTCCGAGGAATTGCGCTGCGTTGCATGGTTAGTTTTGTGCCGTTTGCTGGCAACGTGTTGTGCAAACTGACTCTCCACATTCAAGGTGACGTTACAACACGAACAGTAAAATTTTCCACTCGGTGTGCGGTAATTTGAGAAGTCTTGACGGGGACGCTTTGGTCCCGATGGCTGGAAATTCCTTGCATTGTCATCAGATCCTTGCCAATTGCCTCCCCTGCCAAATGGCCTCTTGAATCCTGAAAAAGTAAATTTCAGTTGCACTGTTTACAGCTCTGATATTCAAATACATTTTGATTATATGATTATATAATATTAGTAAAATCTAAATACTTTTTACATTTGAAGCTAACCAAAACTTGAGCAGCCAAGCTGAGACATGTTCTAGCTGTTACACGACAGGCAGTAATGTGATAGGTGATATTCCATCAAGGTCAAATGACAAGGTCACATGACAGCGGCGATGGTCCATGTAAAAAGTGGGATTTGAGAGCGAAACAACTTTTCTCTTCACCCAAGACCATCGCTATGTGCTGTCCTTTATTGTCCTAAGGTAAGCAGCAAATTCATTAAGGAGTAATGAAGGATAAGTAAAAAAACATATTATATTTTTTTTAATATATATATATATATATATATATATATATATATATATATATATATATATATATATGATTTAATGATTGCTGTTGTACACCTGTTCTCCTTTATTGAATACAATACTGTAAACTTTATAAACATATAAAAATTAATAAACATGATAGACGATCACCTACCTCCTCCTCCTCTTTCCCCAGTGTTGGAGATTTCCACCCCCCTGCCCCTCCCAGCACTCCACCAGTCTCCAGCTACCCACCGCCCCCGCAGGGCTCCCCCCGTCCGCTGCTGAAGACGAAGCTTGTGTTTGTGTTTGGCCCCATTCAGATGCATGTTGAGCTGATCCTGTGACGTGACATGGACACAGCACATCACACACTCAAACTGAGTACCCTCACTGAAACAAACAACACCATGGCTGTCACACATGGAAATAGAAATTATTTTAAGACATAAAACTGGCATGGATAAGTGGGTGAGTGTGTGAGTATGGTTTAATGCCGCTCTAAGCAATATTCCATCAATATCACGGCGGGGGACACCAGAAAATGGGCTTCACACATTGTACCCATGTGGATTGTGGGGAATGGAACCCGGGTCTTTGGCGTGACGAGTGAATGCTTTAACCACTAGCCTCCCCACCGCCCCTGTCATGGATAACCACTTCTATCTTGTTTGTAGCATCGTTTCAGGGCCACACCTTACCCTTTACTTAACAATAGCAATATTACAGCTATATGATGGTGTGTCTGGACCCGACAATCCAGTGATTGACATTATTATTATTATTATTATACATTTTTATACCACAGGTATCCAGGTACAACTAAGTGCTCAAATGCAGTTCTATATCTTCCCCGACCAGTTTGCATTCCAGTTATCATTCTCAACTCCCTGGGGTTCATACAACCCAAGCTGCCTAGAGACGCAGGAAGGTTTTTACATCCACCTCACATATTGAGTACCCATTCCCTGCTGCACTGGATGTATATATACTGTACACTAGGGGTAGTGACAACACTGTCAAGACCTGTAAACATTGTTGGTCCCAAGGCTGAATTACAACCTGGTCAGTAGCGGGATACGATCTCAGCACCTAACGCTTGCAAGTCTGGTGCTTTTGACCACTTGCACACTGACCACCATGAGCATCAATCTACGTAATTGGGATACATTGACATGTATCAAACAAGCCAGCGAGTCTGACCACCCGACCCTGTTAGTCGCCTCTAATGTCAAGCATGGGTTACTGACAACTCGGAAAACACGTGAGAACATTTATGGTGCGTACCCCTTGACAACCGTGTCGCTAGGCAAGGAGATGGTGGTTGCTGATGCAAGTCTCACTTTCTTGGCATGATTCTTGCCTTGATAATGCTGGGTGGATTGTTTCACCGAGGTGAAGGACACGTCGCAGATCTTACAGTAAACTTCCTCATCCAGGGGCGTACTTTCACTCTTCTGCAGACATAGGGACAGGAATTAGACAATTACACACACAAGTATAATGAGGGGAAACAATCGGCTGGGTTAAACTCTGCTTCCCAAAGTATTTCTGTTATATCACAGTGTCGTAGGTTAGTGTTGGCAGACATGTCATGGAGTCCGGTCTATGGTGCATTGGATCCTATGACCATCAGATCCTGGCACGACAAAGGGACACAACTCTACAAAGCAGATTGCACCCCTTGCATTGCATGATAAAAATTAACAATTATCCAGATCCCCCTGATGGTCAATTCTGTCTCTGTCGCCGATAGTCAAGAGCGAAACACTGAAAATAGTACCTGAACCTTTCTATTTGCATAATAATCCGTTATTGACCCAAACGGACACAGTTATCCGTTTGCATGATCCTTCCAAGAAACATCATATCCTGAAACATGTTACCTTACCACTTGTTCTGGATGTTTGTGGCATATAATAAAGCAAGTTTAACTTTCAAGTGTGACATTGCATTGATATCTGAAAATGGAGTTTGATCATTTTGCCGATTGCCTCCGACCAATCTTCTATTATTTCAAATAATCCGAACACAACCAGACACTACAAACACAGCCAAGGAAGGTGATATACACATGATTCAAGATGCCACTATTCTATGCCATTAATGCTTGCATTCACAGTTTCAGTATACAGTAGACATGTCACGGTGTCAACATATGCAGGATGTACACACCCACAACACACTGTTTGTATCATGTAATTAGAGAGTGAGTGAGTGAGTGAGTGAGTAGGCTTTTACACAGCATTTAGCAATAGCCCTGGCGGGGACACCAGAAATGGGCTTCACATATTGTACCCAGGTGGAGATTCGAACCCGGGCCTTCGTGACGTTCGTGACGTTCATGACGAGCAAACGCTTTAACCACAAGGCTACGCCACTGTCCCCTCATAATTACAAAAAATTGGATAACCCTTACTTCAAAATTACTAATGCAGTCATAATCAATATTCATTCACTCATAAAAAAGATAACTGAATACATAATTTAACCTGCCAGAAATTCATGGTTTATGTGATAGTTTCTTGGCCTACTGTGAACGGGGTAAACTGGAAACAACACGTTGGGAATAACATCATCCAGGGCAGACACAAGCACAGACTCGTCATCTAGCCTGGACATACTTCCATCAATGTGACCAAATCAGCATACAAAACATACATAGCACTTCACTTCAGGCATCGGTACCAGTTAAAACAAGTAACAAACATCACATTAAACAATGATTTAATAACACATGTTGGAGAACTGCGTCCCATTCTGCAAATGGTTCATATCTCATCTGTCATAAGTCTATGACAGTGTATGGTAGGAGGTAGGATCATCCTAGCGCTAAGATAGCCTTGGGGAACGGGGCTCTGGGCCAAACTGATATCCAGGGTATGGCCACAGGCTCTTGTCGTTGCATGAATATTTCGAGATCAATTAATATCACGAGTGTCAGAAATGCACTATCCACTCTGCCCTTACACAAGGCCAGACACTGGTACAGCACTGCTCGCCTTGTACCGTTGTTCCTAAACTGAAATCGCGAATCAGGCACAAAAACTTCATATCTACCTTGTCAAGGGTGATTATTCTATTGATTCCAATACAAAACAGCTCCAAATTCTTTATTTTATCAACTGAAAGCTGTCGACTTGCCACTTTGAAACCAACTTGGCACAAATGGCCGACAGACCCGCACAGAATGGTTTGTGTCAGAAAGCAGCTCTGTAGGCTAAGCAGACAAATTTTCAGAAACTGCATGAGCTACCTGCAATTAACAATGGTAACTTAAAATATTGACCGATCAGAGGGCTACTTTCCAACACACCCATTCTGTGCGGGTCTGTTGGCCATTTGTGGCCACTTGGTTTCAAAGTGATGTAGAAATATTTAAGCAACGACACAAGGGCCTGTGAGCATGGTGAGTATGGCTGCTATTGTGGCAATGCTGGGATCATACACTCTAACGTTGTCCAAAGTTCCACCTTCAAAATGGTTAGGCATTTTCAGAAGACTGAGTGAGAAAGTGGAGTTTTCTGCATGTTTAGATGAGTTGGGGCACAAAACACCATGTGGGGAATCAAACTCAGGTCTTCGTCATGAAGAACTAACACCTTAACCACTAAACCATCCCATTCCCCAAGGACATCTCTCAGGACCATCTAAAACCCTGTGTCTAATGCTGAAACATCTCCCCATTTTGTCCTAATTAGCAACCTCTTTCTCCTTATCCTTGGCCCCAGCAGGACTGTCCGATGTTCCAGTCGCAGTGCCTCCAGCTGACGTATCTGCAGTTGTTGCTGACGTTGAGGAGGATGCGAGAAACATCCGCAACTTCTTCGCATGGTTCTTCCCCTCATAATGCTGCTGAGCCTGAGACGTGGCATTCAGGTTGACACTGCACAATCTGAAACAAGCATGGAAAATATTTATTTTAGGAAAACAAAACCAATCTAGATATAAATATATAGAAACGCAAGTTTAGCCAGCTCTAGCTGGCACTATTCCACATGAAATCAGCATCAGGAAAATTACTTTATTTAATTTTAGAGAAGTGTATTGTCATGTGTAATATAAGATTTCATAGACTATATGTTAGTCTAGGATGACCTGTGTGATGACCACAGGGTGAATGACCAGGGATGTATCTTGGCTCACAGGCCAATACTCAGCCCCAAGTCTACAGCCAATGTCAGCAGAAATTCCCAAGTGGGAAATGAAAAATTCCCAATTCATGTTAATATAGTTTTAATAATATATACTAATGTGATGGCTTGGTCAAGGTGATATGTATTTCACTGATAACAGGACCAATGAAGGAAAAGGTTACCTTTAAAAAGATCCAAATTTGGGAGAAAATAACTTTTTTCCCAGTTTGGCTTCCAAAATACACTTACCATATTCGATGTAATAAGCACCCCACTCTAATAAGCGCCCACGGCAATATTTGATAATACATTGGCTAGTGAACAATCCCCATTAGCATCCATTCCGATTGATCAATGTACACAAAATTTATATATTTGTATATTATACATATACTCAACAACAAAAGTTCTGTGACACCAATATTTTAGTGTATTTTTCCAACAAGTAAAGTTTGGTTTTCAATATTGTAGTACATGTATGGAATCAAGTCACAAAAACGCAACTGCTACAGAAAAGCATGCATTCCATGCAAAAGACGGCCATGCAGTGGGGACAAGTTCTATTCACTGACGAGTCTCGTTTTCACCTCACACACCACAGCGATGGACGGATTCGAGTGTACGGACGTTGAAGTGAAAGTTACGTTATCATTGTGTCATGGAAGAAGATCGGTTTGGGGGCGTCAGCGTTATGGTATGGTGTGGGATTACAGCAAAACAGAGGACCTGTGTGATAGTGATAGAGGGAAATCTCAATGGACAGCGCTACCGCGATGAGATCACCGGCCCCGTTGTTCTTCCGTTTTTGCATTGTCATAGCCCAGGCATTACGTTTCAACATGACATGCCCGGCCTCATATTGCTCGACTTGTTCAGGATTCTCTTCAACAAAACAAAGTGAATGTCATCCACTGGCCGGCTCGCTCCCCTGATCTCTCACCAATCGAGCACATGTGGGATGAGATGGATCGGCGCCTACGACATCAACCACGTGTTCCACAGACACTCCAGGAACTTCGAAACATTTTTAAATTGACATTTTGGCATGTTCATGTTTTTTTATGAGATCACGCATTTTCTGAAATCAGTATGGCAAATTAAACCATTTGAACACTTACAGGAGTCTTTTATCTATTGCAAACCGAAATTGTTTCAGATTTGGTAAAAAACATAACTTTGCATTAAATCTTATTCAATGTCACAGGAACTTTTGTTGTTCAGTATATGTTATATGCATCATTAATTATAGGAAAGTAAATTCTGGAAAAATATATCCGTCGTATATAAACATTTCAGGCAGTCAGCATAAACCATGAAATTTACAATCTTTCAACCCTGTTCTTTTTCACCAAACCAATATTCTAATTAGAGCCTCCTATTTCTAATTTTGAGAGCACCCTGAGCACTTATTACGTCGAATACGGTACCGGTAGTTTTGAACCTAAGATACATCCCTGACTGCATGGACTCGCCGTCATATAGCTGGAATATTGCTGAGTGCGGCGTAAAACAAAAAAACAAACCAAAAACCTGACTGCATGGTAATAATTAGTGTTGGAAATGGTTGTAAAATCATGATTGAAGACTGGCAACCAAGCCATCATCAAAGTTAATTGGTTAGTGTCATTTGCTGTTCAGTGTTCAGTAAAACTAGATCACACCTTACAAAGCAAACTTACTTTCTTCATCACTACATTCTTAAAGACAACAACACTGGCCTCGGTCCCCTTTCTCCCTTTTCTCTCAAGTACAAAGCAGTGAGTAAACTCAGTAAGAAACCAAACTATCTCAGAGTTGTACGGAAGCCTTCTGGGGCCATTTGGTTTTTTCCTTTTTTCTTGAAACTTCAAGATAATAACTTGAATTTTCAAGATGTTATGTTGAAATTTCAAGTTAGTACGTATCTTGAAATTTCAACTTAGTATCTTGAAATTTCCACATAACATCTTGAAATTTCAAGAAAAAAACCAATAAAACATATGGCCCTAAAAGGCTTCCGTACGGTTGAGAGAGGGAGCAAAATCATTTTTGTTTCACTGAAGGAAATTGTGAGAGATAATTTGTTTGGGGGACCTTCCAATCAATCTTTGAACACCACCAGTATTAATACAAGCTAATAGATCTCTAAGGCACTGTTTTTTGCTGACAGCCAAGTACTCATGCTGAAAGTTTTTAGAAGCCATATAGGATATTTTGTAGCCAGTAACCATGGCAACATGATGAAAATGACTAAAAATAAACAACCATTGAAAACATTATGGATAACAACTTCTGGTTTATTGCAAAGAGCGACGTTTCGATGTAGATACTTACATCACTATCAAGGATGGAATAGGCACAACCAATTGATGAGAACTATATATATATATGATATGTTGGGATAGCAGCAGAATAACAGTAACAACAACATGTATTGGATAACAAATAGGTTTATCCTCACTGATCATAGCACACATAATTGGATGAAGCCAGAAGTACAGAAAGTATAATTAGATGAAGCCAGAAGTACAGAAAGGATAATTAGATGAAGCCAGAAGTACAGAAAGGATAATTAGATGAAGCCAGAAGTACAGAAAGCATAATTAGATGAAGCCAGAAGTACAGAAAGGATAATTAGATGAAGCCAGAAGTACAGAAAGGATAATTAGATGAAGCCAGAAGTACAGAAAGCATAATTAGATGAAGCCAGAAGTACAGAAAGGATAATTAGATGAAGCCAGAAGTACAGAAAGCATAATTAGATGAAGCCAGAAGTACAGAAAGGATAATTAGATAAAGCCAGAAGTACAGAAAGGATAATTAGATGAAGCCAGAAGTACAGAAAGGATAATTAGATGAAGCCAGAAGTAAAGAAAGGATAATTAGATGAAGCCAGAAGTACAGAAAGGATAATTAGATGAAGCCAGAAGTACAGAAAGCATAATTAGATGAAGCCAGAAGTACAGAAAGGATAATTAGATGAAGCCAGAAGTACAGAAAGGATAATTAGATGAAGCCAGAAGTACAGAAAGCATAATTAGATGAAGCCAGAAGTACAGAAAGGATAATTAGATGAAGCCAGAAGTACAGAAAGGATAATTAGATGAAGCCAGAAGTACAGAAAGGATAATAAGATGAAGCCAGAAGTACAGAAAGCATAATTAGATGAAGCCAGAAGTACAGAAAGGATAATTAGATGAAGCCAGAAGTACAGAAAGGATAATTAGATGAAGCCAGAAGTACAGAAAGCATAATTAGATGAAGCCAGAAGTACAGAAAGGATAATTAGATGAAGCCAGAAGTACAGAAAGGATAATTAGATGAAGCCAGAAGTACAGAAAGCATAATTAGATGAAGCCAGAAGTACAGAAAGGATAATTAGATGAAGCCAGAAGTACAGAAAGGATAATTAGATGAAGCCAGAAGTACAGAAAGCATAATTAGATGAAGCCAGAAGTACAGAAAGGATAATTAGATGAAGCCAGAAGTACAGAAAGGATAATTAGATGAAGCCAGAAGTACAGAAAGGATAATTAAATGAAGCCAGAAGTACAGAAAGGATAATTAGATGAAGCCAGAAGTACAGAAAGGATAATTAGATGAAGCCAGAAGTACAGAAAGCATAATTAGATGAAGCAAGAAGTACAGAAAGCATAATTAGATGAAGCCAGAAGTACAGAAAGCATAATAAGATGAAGCCAGAAGTACAGAAAGCATAATTAGATGAAGCCAGAAGTACAGAAAGCATAAAGGATAAAGGTGTTGTTTCAATCTTGATTGGATACTAATTAAAAGTGTATTAATAACTATTATTATGTTATAATATCTTTATAAGCATATCATGCCTACATAACCATGACAACAAAAGGAAAACGATGACTGTATCACCATGATAACTGGTGATAACTTGGCATGTTATCATGGTTATCTGAAAAGGTAACACAGGTGCATGAAATAGGGTTTGCAGGATCTTGACAACAACGTTAAGTTGTAACTCTTGGTGAGCACCAGGGATGCGAAAACCGGTCTGTTCACCGGTCATGTCCGGTTATGACTGAAAAATGTCCGATATTGAAAAGCACAAACCAGACATTTCCAAATTTGCCAACCGGACATTTTCGAGAAAGTACTGGCTGGACATTACAGTTTGAGGCCAGATATCATAAGAAATGATATGAAATAAAGAGGTGCAGCCAGACTGACGTGTGTTTGTTGTTGGTAAGTGTGTGTATACACGACTTGCAAGGGTGACCGAGTGCTATCAGTCAACATCATATTATGTGCAGTAAAAAACTACATCATATTTCTTCAGGGAATTCAGGTGATAACAAACTTCAATTGGTCAAAAAAATGTGAGACTTGAGATAAAATATCAGTAGGCATTCATGAGGATTTACCATTTAAATTATATTTCCAGTATTTATAGGCATTGTTTAATATGCAGAAATTAAGATTACCATGCATATTTTCTCGTAAACTAAGCCGGAAAATGGAATCATGTGCACACACACTTTCTACCATTCTACCGTTTATTCCTTTAAAAAATACACAATAATATAACTTCAAAGAATATTGATACATTGAAAGAACTGTATTTGAACTATTATCATGATTATTTTTACACACTGTCAACTCACTAAACTGTAATGTGCTACACAGCTACACACTGTCAACTCACCAAACTGTAAAGAGCTACACACTGTCAACTCACCAAACTGTAATAAGTTACACAGTGTCAACTCACTAAACTGTAATGTGCTACACAGCTACACACTGTCAACTCACTAAACTGTAATGTGCTACACAGCTACACACTGTCAACTCACTCAACTGTAATGTGCTACAAAGTCAAGTCACTAAACCTTAATGTGCTACACACGGTCAACTCACTAAACTGTAATGTGCTTCATACTGTCAACTCACTAAACTGTAATGTGCTACACTGTCAACTCACTAAACTGTAATGTGCTACACACTGTCAACTCACCAAACTGTAATGTGCTACACACTGTCAACTCACTAAACTATAATGTGCTACACACTGTCAACTCACTAAACTGTAATGTGCTACACAGTGTCAACTCACTAAACTGTAACGTGCTACACACAGTCAACTCACTAAACTATAATGTGCTACACACTGTCAACTCACTAAACTGTAATGTGCTACACAGTGTCAACTCACTAAACTGTAATGTGCTACACACTGTCAACTCACTAAACTGTAATGTGCTACACACTGTCAACTCACTAAACTGTAACGTGCTACACACAGTCAACTCACTAAACTGTAATGTGCTACACAGCTACACACAGTCAACTCACTAAACTGTAATGTGCTACACACTGTCAACTCACCAAACTGTAATGTGCTACACAGCTACTCAGTCAACTCACTAAACTGTAATGTGCTACACACTGTCAACTCACCAAGCTGTAATGTGCTACACACTGTCAACTCACTAAACTGTAACGTGCTACACACTGTCAACTCACTAAACTATAATGTGCTACACAGCTACACACAGTCAACTCACTAAACTGTAATGTGCTACACACTGTCAACTCACTAAACTGTAACGTGCTACACACAGTCAACTCACTAAACTGTAATGTGCTACACAGCTACACACAGTCAACTCACTAAACTGTAATGTGCTACACACTGTCAACTCACCAAACTGTAATGTGCTACACACTGTCAACTCACTAAACTGTAACGTGCTACACACTGTCAACTCACTAAACTATAATGTGCTACACACTGTCAACTCACTAAACTGTAATGTGCTACACAGTGTCAACTCACTAAACTGTAATGTGCTACACACTGTCAACTCACTAAACTGTAATGTGCTACACACTGTCAACTCACTAAACTGTAATGTGCTACACACTGTCAACTCACTAAACTGTAACGTGCTACACACTGTCAACTCACTAAACTATAATGTGCTACACACTGTCAACTCACTAAACTGTAATGTGCTACATACTGTCAACTCACTAAACTGAAATGAGCTACACACAGTCAACTCACTAAACTGAAATGTTCTACACACGGTCAACTCAATAAACTATAATGTGCTACACAGCTACACAGTGTCAACTCACTAAACTGTAATGTACTACACAGCTACACAGCTACACACTGGCAACTCACTAAACTGTAATGTGCTACACAGCTACACACTGTCAAATCACCAAACTGTAATGTGCTACACACTGTCAACTCACTAAACTGTAATTTGCTACACAGTTACACACTGTCAACTCACTAAACTGTAATGTGCTACACACTGTCAACTCACTAAACTGTAATGTGCTACACAGCTACACAGTCAACTCACCAAACTGTAATGTGCAATACACTGTCAACTCACTAAACTGTAATGTGCTACACAGCTACACACTGTCAACTCACTAAACTGTAATGTGCTACACAGCTACACACAGCAGGGTTAGAAATTGGCACTAGTCCTATAGTCCTTGCCAAACTGCCCAATAGTAAAGGTATCCTAAGGACTAGTAGAATTTTGACATTTTTTAAAGGTTTTACTATATGCTTTCATTATAAGGACTAGTGGACTGAAACTGTTAGTTTCTACCACTGCTGTGACAGTCAACTCACTAAACTGTAATGTGATACACACTGTCAACTCACCAAACTGTAATGTGCTACACACTGTCAACTCACTAAACTGTAATGTGCTACACAGCTACACAGTCAACTCACCAAACTGTAATGTGCTACACAGCTACACAGTCAACTCCCCAAACTGTAATGTGCTACACACTGTCAACTCACTAAACTGTTATGGGCTACACAGCTACACACAGTCAACTCACTAAACTGTAATGTGCTACACAGCTATACAGTGTCAACTCATTAAACTGTCATGTGGTACACAGCTACACACAGTCAACTCACTAAACTGTAATGTGATACACACTGTCAACTCACTAAACTGTAATGTGCTACACAGCTACACACTGTCAACTCACTAAACTGTAATGTGCTACACAGCTACACACTGTCAACTCACTAAACTGTAACATGCTACATACTGTCAACTCACTTAACTGTAATGTGCTACACAGCTACACACAGTCAACTCACTAAACTGTAATGTGCTACACAGCTACACAGTGTCAACTCACTTAACTGTAATGTGCTACACAGCTACACACAGTCAACTCACTAAACTGTAATGTGCTACATACTGTCAACTCACTTAACTGTAATGTGCTACACAGCTACACACAGTCAACTCACTAAACTGTAATGTGCTACACAGCTACACACTGTCAACTCACTAAACTGTAATGTACTACACAGCTACACACTGTCAACTCACTAAACTGTAACATGCTACATACTGTCAACTCACTTAACTGTAATGTGCTACACAGCTACACACAGTCAACTCACCAAACCGTAATGTGATGAACATCTACACACAGTCAACTCACTAAACTGTTATGTTTTACACAGCTTCACACTGTCAACTCACTTAACTGTAACATGCTATATACTGTCAACTCACTTAACTGTAATGTGCTACACAGCTACACACAGTCAACTCACTAAACTGTAATGTGCTACACACGGTCAACTCACTTAACTGTAATGTGCTACACAGCTACACACTGTCAACTCACCAAACTGTAATGTACTACACACAGTCAACTCACTAAAGTGTAATGTGCTACACAGCTACACACTGTCAACTCACTAAACTGTAACATGCTACATACTGTCAACTCACTTAACTGTAATGTGCTACACAGCTACACACAGTCAACTCACTAAACTGTAGTGTGCTACACATGGTCAACTCACCAAACTGTAATGTGCTACACACGGTCAACTCACTAAACTGTAATGTGCTACACAGCTACACACTGTCAACTCACTAAACTGTAATGTGCTACACACAGTCAACTCACTAAACCGTAATGTGATGAACATCTACACAAGGTCAACTCACTAAACTGTAATGTGCTACACAGTGTCAACTCACTAAACCGTAATGTGATGAACAGCTACACACAGTCAACTCACTAAACTGTAATGTGCTACACAGCTACACACAGTCAACTCACTAAACTGTAATGTGCTACACAGCTACACACAGTCAACTCACTAAACTGTAATGTGCTACACAGCTACACAGTGTCAACTCACTAAACCGTAATGTGATGAACAGCTACACACAGTCAACTCACTAAACTGTAATGTGCTACACAGCTACACACTGTCAACTCACTAAACTGTAATGTGCTACACAGCTACACACTGTCAACTCACTAAACCGTAATGTGATGAACATCTGCACACAGTCAACTCACTAAACTGTTATGTGCTACACAGCTACACACTGTCAACTCACTAAACCGTAATGTGATGAACAGCTACACACAGTCAACTCACTAAACTGTAATGTGCTACACAGCCAACACAGTCAACTAACTAAACTGTAGTGTGCTACACATTCATACTTCAAAATGTACTTTGCTACAAAGCTACACACAATCATCTATCGCTTCATTGACAACAATATTGTGATAAAAAGTTGCTTACCTGCAATAAAGGGGTTGCATGAGATCCCGTAGCTTAGCTTCTACCTCTGGGCTCAGAAGCTGGTCTCCGACACCTGTCACTGCTGATGTCGGGATCACATATGTTGATGTCGCAGCCACCAGTGGGTCTGCCGATGTCTTTCCAGCAACCTCAACCGGCACCACATCATCAGTTGACACAACAGGTTGCTGTTCTTCTTTCACAAACTTAGGAACATTTTCCTTCCCAGCTGGGAGGATTGATTTGGGTTTCACATCCGAATACTTTGCCATGATTTCCTCAGAGTTCTGTTGAATATTCTTTTCGCGAGTCTGGGGATGGGAATATCCTCCGTGGGTGCTCACACAAATCTGGTTCACAAATCTCCCCCCTCTATTTCCACGACCACTGAAAACTCTGGGCGGGTCAGACTGACCTTGACCTTGCGAAAACGAGGCACTAAGTCCTGATGCCCCTCTTCCTCCTCGTGTTGGACCCTGACCACGTGTTGAATAATGGTCAATACCAGATCTCCCACGTGTAGTTCGGTCATACGACTGACCCCGACCGGAAGTGTCAGGGTAACGGGAAGGTGTGTTATTGCTCCCATAATTCCCTGTTCTTTGAGTATGTTGCACATGGGATGGAGGTGGTGGAGGAGGGGGCTGGGTGTCAAACTTGTAACTAGAGTAATCTCCCCCTGTGCTACTCTGCGGGCCATTCTGTTTTCTCTGGTTGAACAGGTTCTGTCCAAACTGGTTGCCATACTGACCCCCATTCTGTCCATAATTATTACTTATGCCAGAATTCTGACTATACCCAGAACTAGAAACAGAATTTGAAGCAACAGATGTCTGATAACTGCCTGAATTTTGATAGCTACTTGTCTGTCCATATGCAGTACCGCCGTTATATCCAGCCGACTTTTGTCCCTGACTGTAACCAGGGTTTGTTGTAGTACTCTGGCCATAGCCAGTAACACTATTCTGGTTAAAGTCCTTGGTGGCAGGCGCTGGGGTATACGAGCTGTAATTCCCTGTCTGCGAGTATCTTGCTGTGTTATCTGCAGGGAAGCTGTTCTGTGTGAAACTCGAACTATAAGCAGAACTTGTAGTAGAGTCAGTCCCATTGCTCACATATTGCCCATAGGTACTGCCTGGCGTAGAGTTTTGTCCGTATTGGTTATCATTAGCATTTTGAGCACTATATTGACCAGTAAACTGGTTGTTATTTTGATTATATCCCGGTGTGTATTGCCCACTTGAGTTGAAGTCATTGTTCTGTCCATAAGTTTGGTACTGATTGTTTTGGTCATATGATTGTCCATACTGGTTGTTGTTACACTGCTCTTGATACTGGGTCCCTTGTGTGTAGCCCTGCTGGTTGTAGTCATAGTTCTGGTTGTACTGGTAGCTGTCATAGTAACCTACAACACAAGCATTGCAAACCTGGAATACACCACTCTCCATAATAATCATAGGGCAGTAATATGCACACGACATGCCACCAAATGTAGGCATGGTCACATATGACATGTCAAGGAGATGGCATCATATGAAGCACCATATTCTTCTCCTGATCTCTGAAAACAAACTTAACTCATTGTGTATATTTTACTATGCACACCTCTTTTTAATTTTCTAAATGCCCCGGCAAATTTTTTAAAGCAAAAATAGTAAGTTATATGTTTGTCATACACTTATGAACATCAGTTTCGCGGTCATGTAAAAAGTCATATATCATGTAAACTTCAAATTAAAAAATCATTCAAATATGTCTGACTAACCCTTACTTGTCTACACACAAAATCTAGGTTTAAGTACCATACAACATCACTAATCCCTTTGTTATGTGTAATTTATCACACTTTCTTTGGCCTGACTTCTTCAAGCTGTTTGCACTTCAAGATTATGTGCACATTTTCCTGTTACGTTTTACAGCAATGCGTCATTTATTGATGCGACACTGCAGCAGACCGGTCTATGTTTCAACTTTGACAAGTTTATTGGGCCAGGGTGCAACCTGGTTTTGTTTGGTGCAACCTGGTTTTGTTTGGTGCAACCTGGTTTTGACTGGTGCAACCTGGTTTTGACTGGTGCAACCTGGTTTTGTTTGGTGCAACCTGGTTTTCATGTCAACATGCACCTAGTGCAGGTTAAATTAAGTTCATTACATCGAGCCCTGGGCACCGTTCCACAAAGCGATCTTAGCGCTACGACTATCGTAAGCCAGTGTTAAAGTATGGGAGTTACGATCACCTCAGCGCTAAGATGGCTTTGTGGAACGGGGCCCTGATGTGTGATTCACACGAAGCATAAACATATGGTATGGATGTAGTGTATTTTAGCAAGTAATGATAACATCAATGAATAAATATTGCCTTACACAGTTTCAGCAACTGTACAGCTGTTCATGGCAACAATACAGAAAGGGAACCCAAAGCTGTTCTCTTTATTTGTAGGTTACTTGGGACATGTGTTGAGGCAAGTGAGATGAAAATCTAATAATTTATTTATTGCGACTTTAATGGTGTTCTGATTAATCTATTTCATGTGTGGATTAAATAGATAAACAGATCAATCAACTGATAAGGATTACTGCATTAATCTTTTATGACCCTACTGTTTATATGAGGAAGTATTGTTACATTGTCTCTCGACAAACTTCATATCATAGCAGATGCTAAAACAGCCAGCCAAAGAACAATGATCAGTTATCAGTTGACATCCGTCTTTTGGCTCAGAGTAAATATCAATCCTGAATTATCGCTATGGGGTGGCTCCTACAGGTAACTCACCTGCTGTTGTGCATGATACCTCACACATTGTGTTAAACATTGTGCCAAATGGCTCTGTAGCTCACCTGAATAGTTCTGGAATATTTACAACATTACCATAATTAGGTTTAAAACTGCACTTAACAAGGTTGCAGGGTAAATATAAATATACAAACTGAAAAACCTAATTTTAGATACAGAAACACAGTAGGAATATTTCATTACCATTAGGGCTGCAACGAATACACTATTAGGCGAATATGATTTGTATCATGAATATAGGGTAATGAATATGAATATTGATTCACGAATACAATAACAAGTCAGCAGTTGACGTGTATTTATGATATTCAGAGAAATAATAACAAAATAAATATTTGACATGGTTTGTTAATTATTAATTTATTATACATTCATATACTGCACTTATCCAGGTACTAGTATCTGCTCAAATGTGACAATGACTAGTGACTAAAATACTGTCAAATTAAATATACTCACACGCAAAAGAAACGCAAGTCGAGTATGCAGTATACATGTTATTTATTTTCAACAGTAAAGACAAGAAATACTAATAGGGCAAGATTGACAAAAATTTGACTGAAGACAGTTTAATGCATTAAAAGGCAGATGACATTATTGTTTTTTTCAAATGTTAAGGGCTTACACAGTTTCGGGTCAATACCTGATGTGACCACCATTAGCATTGATCACTGCCACACATCTCTTGTACATTAAGTGGATCAGACGATTTGTGAAGGCCCTAGGGATCCTCCTGCACACATCCAGAGCACCTGCGCGTAGTTCGTCGGCAGTTGTAGCGACTGGGTGCAAATTGTGAACCTCATCACACAAGTCTTCGATGGGGTTCAGATCAGGCCTGAGGGCTGGCCACGGTAGAACACGGATGTTGTGTTGTTGCAGAAAGGCCATGGTAGCTCTGGCAACATGGGGACGAGCGTTGTCCTGCTGGAAAATGTGTTGTTGATGTTGTGCAAAAAATGGAACAACATGGGGTCTGATCACTTGGTCGATATACCGCTGAGCAGTCCCCGACCTTGACAAACATTCAGAAAGCACATGGGTCCAAATCTTGCATTAAGTCCAATCCCTGCCCATATCATGACACTAGGTCCACCCCATGGATCCCTTTCCACAATGTTTCTGTCAGCGAAACGATCACCTCGAAGCCGCCAAATTCTGACTCTTACGTCTGCATGGGAGACACAAAAGCGACTTTCATCAGAGAAGGTGACACGCCTCCACTCACGATGACGCCAATTGTGATGACCCTGTGCCCACTGAAGTCATGCTTGTCGATGCCGTGGTTGGAGAACAGGACGACGTGCTGGTCGGCGACATCTGAGGTTGTTGGAACGGAGACGTCGGATCACAGTGTCCCGGCTAATGTGTCGATTATGTGTTCCTATGGTCTGTCGAGCACTTTCACTTGCAGTTAGGAACGGATGTCGCTGTTGTTGACGGGTAATCTGCCGATCTTGTCGAGGTGTGGTGACCCTAGGACGACCGCCCCGAGGAAGGTCATCTGTGGTCTGTGTAGCATTGTATCGATGCAGGAGATGGTAAATTGTGGTTATGTTAACGTTGAAATGACGGGCAACATCTTGGACAGACTCTCCAGCTTCCAAACGTCTGATAGCCTGGTTTCTCTGAATTTGAGTTAGGCGTGGCATTGACGAAGGAGTGGTAGGTCCAAGAATCGGCCAGAGTTTTAAACCCACTACAGTTTGTGACAGTTCGTGCATTTTTGATTTCGCGAGAAATGGGTGCATGATACCCACATATTCATTGAAATGGTGCGTTTTGGCGATTCGTTTTTTATGTTGCGTTTTTACTTGGGGCTTCCAAAATGCAACCAAAAATATTGATAACACCATCAGGCTTCACTAAATGCTAAAACTTCATCAATTTATGGTTCCGTGTTTGTTACCTATTTGCTTAAAACCACTTGCGTTTCTTTTGGGTGTGAGTATATAAAAGAGTGTTGTCTTTGAAAAAATCTATGCATATAATATGTTCTTATGGATATTTTAAGGGACAGGATATGTAAATGCATGTGACTGCATATTCATAAATATTCGATTCTAGTGGCACGAATAACGAATTGAATTCATGAATGGATCCGGTTCGATTCACCGAATACGTGAGTTAATTGTAACAGCCCTAATTACCATTACACTCAACCTGTGAAGATTCAGGGTAGAACAGATCTTCAGCAACCCATGCTTGCCGTAAAAGGCGACTATGCTTGTCGTAAGAGGTGAATAATGGGATCAGGTGGTCAGGCTTGCTGACTTGGTTGATGCATGTCATTGTATCCCAATTGCGTGTATCGATGTTCATGATGTAAATTACTGAATTGTCTGCTCCAGATTCGATTATTTACAGACCGCTGTCACATAGCTGGAATATTGCTGAGTGCGGCGTCAAACAACAAACAAAACAACACAAAAACAAAACATCACCCATAGCCATGATAACAGGGTAAATAAGAAAATTGTTATGTAGTAAATTTGTAGCACAGGTAGGATATATTTCCTCTGATGGACTGATAACTACTGATATCTTATCAAGGGGTGGAGTCTCTGATATACTGTTTAAGAAGCGAAGGAACAAAACAACATGTACCTGTCGTTGTTTCCTATTCAAGTTAGCAATACTCACTTGAGCAATATGTCCATCTTTGTTAAAATATACAAAAATAGTGTTACAACACTAGGCCTGGGACGGACGAGTCCAAATGTACTACCCGGGGTACCAAACCCACAATTACCCAACCCTACCCGGGTACCCACTGTAGGACTCATGAGTTGGGGAAAAAATGTCTGATTGGGACTTGTTTTACCGCAGCAATGGCAAAAACTATTTTGACACATGTATCAAACAATCAGATCATGTGTACACTGAAGTTGACTGAAGCTGTATCTTTGCTCAAACATATACAAGTCAAAAGGAATGTGTGCATCATCAGAAAGAAATGAGAGCATTAGCGACTTGTAGTATAACCATTGAGCTATACCTAGTTTTTGTCATTAAACAATATATCATGTATCTAACCACGGGTCTGGATAGTGCAGTGGGTACCTGGGTCCTACTCAGGACCAACCCGACCTGAGTTACCCATCCCAGCCCTACACAGCACTGTAGCTGGCCTGGATATGTAGCCAACAATATAAAATGTCATCAAAGACTTCCACGTAGCAAAATTTGTAACTAACTTCTTTAATCTGCAAGATTTAATGAACTCGTTTATGACATGTTGCAAGACACAGCAGATGAATTTACTTAACAAACTCTCAGCCCTTCTGAGGAGATAATTTTTCCACATTTACAAATGCTGTACAAGTTTTCCAATTGGTTCACTAGAAAATGATCAAATCAAAATATAATGTCAAAAGAACAGCTTCCACAGTCTGGCAAGTTGAAAGAATATGTTTACAGAGACAAAAATGCACATCGAGAGAATGTAAGAGGATAACATTGCACTTTGAGCAGTGATCATTAATATAGCTGATGTGATAACTCAGCCTTTGATTAATTGTTATGTTAATTTCCTATTCAGCTGGCTGGGTTTAGGTTGTAAAGAAAAGTATTTCCTGTTTGGATCATCATGTGCTGTTGTGAACAGGGGACCATGGACGTGTTTAAACTATTCAATGAAATACAATATTTAAGTAACCAAGAAGTAAGGCACAACTAACTGAACCAATTATTTGTCTATTTGTGTGAAGATATTAGTATATTTCAAAGAATTTTCTGCATTGTATTGCAGTCAATCTACCCGCCAGCTTTACTTTACAACTTGTTGCAACGCGCTCTTCAACTTATAACTGTATGGGACTATGAACTAGAATAAATTCGATGAAGAGTGATTAGACATCTTTATTTCCTCAAAACCCACAATCGATGTATTTGAAATGCAGTTACCGTATTCAACGTAATAAGCGCCCCGCTCCAATAAGCGCCCACGGCGATATTTCCTAATATATTGGCTAGTAAACAATCCCAATCAGCACCCCTTCCGATTGATCAATGTACACAAGACTTTTTTTATTCGTGTATAATACGCACTCGTGTGTTATATCACCCTTAATAATGGGCAATTAAATTCTTAAAAAATATAACTGTCGTATGTAAACACTTCAGGCTGTTAGCATAAACCACGAAATTTACGATCTTTCAACTCAAAATAATATTCTAATAAGCGCCCCCTATTTCTAATTGTGAGAGCGCCCAGGGCGCTTACTACGTTGAATACGGTATGTATGGTATGTAAAACAACATATAATCATCAAAATACACGTCTTAGTTGTTGAATGGAATCTTAAGTGTGTCACCCCTGGAATTATTTTCATGTGTGATTTAAAAACATCAAAAACCGTTGACATACTTGCCCTTTGATATCATATATTGGTTAAAGAACAATATTATTGTTTATATTATTATGTATCATGGTTATGTAGGGCCACAAAGTAAACGTGAAAAATAATTGGCGTCACATGCTGGGATTTGAACCATAGACTTTCTGGAATGACTCCACATCCTGCAAAATCTACAAACCTCTCAACATCCACAACCTTCTAGCATTTATTTCAGCCATAATTGCATGATTATTTGCAAGTATATACATATGTATCTATATCTGCCTATCAGGACTTTTGCTAAGTTTGTACTGCATCTATATTACTACTCTGTATCATCATGATTACTGCAGTATAAAATATTTCTCAGAAGTGAGTGACATCTGTTGGGAATTTACAAGATCAACACATGCAATTTATCAAATACAAAGTTGTCTTATTGTCTCAAGGAATTATGACCACCCTCATTCTGATTTCTGGAAATTTACAAATAACATAAAAAAAATTACTTTCAATATTACTTTTTACAAGTTTTACATATTTGGGAACAGGGCATTGCGAAACAGGGCATGTAATATCCAGCATTAGAAATTGGCACTAGTCCCATAGTCCTTGCCAAACTGACCAATAGTTAAGGTATTATAAGGACTAGTAGAAATTTGCCATTTTTAAGGGTTTTGCTATATGTTATCTATAAGGACTAGTGGAATAAAAATGTTAGTTTCTACCACTGAATATCTCTCCAATTCATCACTTTGATATGTGTGCAGGGGAACTGTTTTCAGGTGACCCATCAAATCTCCTCCCTACCACCCATACAACAATATAGTGTCCACTGCAACTGAAATTCGTGTTGTTGCTGAGACAGTCTATAGGCACGTAACTTACGGGTTAGGAGACTGAAATCAAGTCTATAGTTTCTAAACAATCTCGACATATATTGGAACTTGCATAAATTATCACAGTTCACACATAAATGCAAACATCAATCAGAGCGAAACATATTTATCGATTAATGGAACTGACAACGTTTAACAAAGCGAATGTTTGAGTCGAGTAGCAGACGGAAAATTCCACTTTTTTGTGAATAAACACGGGACATGTGCCGGCGTCTCGTTCATGTTTTTGGTCAAAACAAACAATTTCCAAACATAAGCCAGGTATATTTGACGAGCATACCAACCTTGATATCCTGAACTCATTGTCAGTAATTATACTAATTTCAAGAGGAAACCACAGGCTGCACAAATTGTAGAATCTTCTGCTGTTTATCGCAAACGTGAATGTCAAAGTGATCCGCCATACCAACTACTAAGGAGCGAATGCAAGCATAGCTCATGATTTGAAAAAAAAGAGCTCAACCATTTGTTCCAACTCATGAGTGCATCTGCGTTCTAAATGTTAAATTTGATTATATAACTATTCTAAAATGGGATGTGTCCTGAAATTTAAAACATTTTTTCTGTCTGGGTGTTAAGCCCGTGACCTACTTTAGATACCGGTGTTATACTTCTTTGTTACTCATGAAATAAAGTAATCTGATTTCTAAAAAAAATGAGAGTGTGTTTGATGTGTGATTTGATGTCTTATCACGTAAAGTACACGTGATATAGAGTTGCTGTAGTATTTTGTTTTTTAACAAAACATGACCTGAAATGTAATGTTTACGTGAAGGCTGTGACATTAACACATTGTCCCTGTATGCAATTACGGTAATAAGCTTATTGCTGGTGAGTGAGGTCTATGGTCAGAGTTGTTTCAGTCGTATAGCGATTGTAGTTAGAATCACTTCACTTCTTTTCACATAGAGCTAAATGTTGTTTGAATTGCCTGATCTACTTGTTTTGGTTTTCGATCTCATATTTCAGTTGTCCGTTACTGGTCCGTTTTTGACCATATATATGGGCTGGTATGACCAACACGGCAGGGCGTCGCTGTACACATAGAGAATCTCACCCGAGTGTCTTTTGATATCAAATATATCAACACGAGTTGATAAAAGCCTCGGAGTTTTTTTCCACTTTTATCAACGAGTGTTGATATATTTGATATCAAAAGACATGAGGGTGAGATTTTATTTATCATCCAACATCATTCTTCCAACTGTTTTAGTTTGTAGACAGTAATATGCAGTGCCTAAGTGTAAAAAGTGCTGCTAACAGCTTCAGTAGCAGAGCCATTAGTGATGTCATTTGATTGTGACGTCATCGGTTACCATGACCTGCAAAGTATTGTGATGCAATTTCATTGCAGCGATATCTACAATGTAGATATCGCTTGATCTCACCCGAGCGATATCTCCTGTGGGTTGGTTGGTTGGCTGGTTGTTTTACGCCGCACTCAGCAATATTCCAGCTTTATGACGGCGGTCTGTAAATAATCGAGTCTGGACCAGACAATCCAGTGATTAATATCATGAGCATCGATCCATGCAATTGGGATCAATGCCATGCTTCAACCAAGTCAGCGAGGCTGACCACCCGATCCCGTTAGTCGCCTTTTAACGGGATCGGGTGGTCAGGCTCGCTGACTTGGTTGAAGCATGGCATCGATCCCAATTGCATGGATCGATGCTCATGGTATTAATCACTGGATTGTCTGGTATCTCCTTTGGGAGCCAGTTTGGGATGATAAAGCGATATTAGCGCTAGGGTGATGTAACTCCCATGCATTGACATAGACTTACGACATTCTTAGGGCTAAGGTTGTTTTTTACAACCTCAGGCAGGTCAACAGAAAAACAGGAAAAACAGACAAGTGCCCAAACGGACCAGACGATTTGGTCAAAACGGACCAGTAAAATCAGATTGAAAACACAAACAAGTTTCCCAGTTTTATACACTTTGTATTCATTATTCTGTTACTAACGTGATATGCCATTACACACATACATGCATTAACTCGCATGAGGTTTGTGTGTCATGACAATGCTTACATGTATATACACTTTCGTTGACATTCGTGCACATACACGCTACTTAGAAAGGCTGCCAACGGTTGTTTTTTTTTTTTGTCCGTGCACCATATGTCATTGCCGTATACAACAGTCAAATCCACTGATTTTATCCCGACATCTAGACTTACGCCCAGTCTCTGAAAATATATAATTTTTGATAGAAATAAATAACTTCATTTAAACTGAAAAGGAACTCCAGTGAGAAAGGTGATTCAGAATCTAAAAAAATCTAGACTTGCTTCATTTAGGACTTCTGGCGGAGGGGGAAATAATACCCGATTACCCGACGTCCTACAAGGACGACTGCACTAACGCTATTAGTACATGGCATATTACCCCCATGGAAGGGATGTTTTTTCACATTTGAAATATTGGTTGACCCAGTTGGGAACATTTCTGTTGATGCCGGATCTGTACTGTCCGCCTCGTGTCGATAATGTCTGCTGGGTCTCTCTTTTTGGTCTTCAAAGGGTTTTGTGCAGTATGTTTTGAGCCTGACTCACGTTTCCTACCCAAACACATCCTCGGATAATAATTAGAGAATAACAAACGAGATAGGAGGAATTATCCCGCGTCATACCCCTTACATTGGGGTCTGTTTCAGACATCTGTCTCCCTTATAAAACAACCACAGCCTGACGTTTACAACGCCTGCATGTGTGACATGTTATGTAGTTAATAGGATGATTATTGGAGCTAACGTTACACTGTAGACCTGCATGGTTCTATTTTATTCACAATGGAAATTAAGCCCGTTACCGTGGAAACTGATGATTCAATCGGAAATATTTATACTGTGCAGTAAGGCAATTTGTCTGCAATACGACCTGGCCTTGCTTCGTTGTTGCCAGTAAGCTGCACTGCCTCCGTGGTCTAGTGGATGGAACGTCTGTCTGCCCGGAGTGCGTTTGGTCGGCGGTTCGATCCTCCGGCCACGTCATACCAATGACATAGGCGTTAAGAGATTGCACTTGTTGATTCCCTTCGCGGCATTAAGGAGATACTAAAGGACTGGTCGGCTCGGAGTCAGTATTCTGTGTCTGAGTCGGGAGTCCATGTTAAACTGCGGCATAGTATGTGGGCTAACTCCATAATCAAACATTTGTTCGGACTTGTACTAGCACGCACACACGCACACGCACGCACACACGTACACGTATACGTCGCTATAGATGTGCAATAATCATGAACGCGGCGTTAAACCCCACATCATCTCGCCATCGTTACGAATAATGCGATATGATGGTCATCCATTAAGTTTGGGCTGGGGAGGGGTTGGTTGTCGAACACCCCAGGAGCCGCCGTAGAATTATTCTTTTTATTTCTTACACGGGTTTCTTACGTCGAAGGCCAATTAGTATGCCGAGCATCGAGAAATAGCGCCATATATTATCCGTATCTATTCTAGGTTGATACTTGTCATCATAAAATGGCGAAAGTACATACTGGAAAAGTATATTGTGTCCTATTCTTGTTCGGTTGGGAGTTTTGTCAAATAATGTCAAAGAAATTTATTAAACCTTAGTAAAAAGTGTTTTTTCCCCATAGATTGGATGGTTATTTTGTCGGGGAAAGCCGAGAACAGTTTTAACGTAAACTGCCACACATCAAACCTGCCCAAAATATTTTTAACCCAAGCCGCCGAAATACCCTCATGTATAAGGTCGTCCGAAACCCAAGCCGCACGAATAATATTTGATGTGCGATGTTTTACAAGAAAATCCACAATCCAACTGTCTTTCGTGCCCAGATGGAGAAACATTACATGCACTCTTAATACTTCGTTTTTTTCTTCCCTGAAAGTTATTACAGTTACTCATTGTCACGTACTTTGTTTGGCAACGTAGGTTTTACAACTGATGCTTATCACAATTTTTAGCAATCGATTTGCACGGGGCATATTTTATAAATGCACCGCTTGTGCGCCCTCTGGGGGCAATAGAATCCAAGGAAGGTAACCCGTATCACTATCGGAACATCGCTTAACAATCTTGTGGCCCTTTGAAAATAACGTCAAAGTAGAGATCTACGTAACTGCCCGAGATTGTCCGACTGCTTTGAACCTTTGAACAGAGTTATCTATCTTGATCCAAAATGTCTACCGATGAAAATTCTGCTACGAGTTCTCAGTCTCAACCGGGGACTGGGCCCCCTCCACCGGAGGTTAAAACGGCCGGAATTCCGCTGAGTGATTTTGTACTTCAACTGGAAGATTATGCGCCAACTGTAAGACATAATTGTATTACGATAGTAGGTTTTCATCTGACCAAATAGCCGGTCCCTGTGACATGTCAAACTTTAATTTCAAAATACAGTTATACACCTCTAGTTTCAGCAACCCGGATAAAATACTTTGTATGTATCATAACCCTGCACTAGTTTTTCAACTATGCCCCAATATGTAATATAAGACGTTCTTTATATGTTATATATGGGTATTTATTGTTTCATGTCGATTTTTTTTCAACGTGTAATTTGAGAAAATAGTTGATCGGTTTTCAGCTGTTTTTGATCATTAGGATTTTTGATACCGTCAAAACGGACCATGATTAAATGAGATTATATACTTCATGTGGCCAGCAACATAGGGAAATTATCCAGGCCCCTGAACATGCTGAAGCAGGATAATGATATTATTGAAACACTGGACACATATGTATAAACAGGTAAGGTATATCACTCGCCATCTTGGCTGAAGTTGAAATCAACTGTCTCGTTTAAATTAAACTGTTAAATGGAAATGTATGCATGTCATATTCACAATACCTCCCTACCTCCCACATCCGCACTACATGCCACAAACCTTCATCTTTTGCAATTTATTGCCTATATCTGATGATTTTATTGAAATATTGGCTCAATTGTGGCCTTTGATCATGGTAGTAAATAAAATCTCCTGGCTCAATGGCATCGAATGCTCTGATTTGTTAAATATCACCATGTGTGTTTGTTATGGTGGAGTGTAGACCAATCAGAACGTTGGCCGGCATTGAGCGCAGATTTTTTGTTTGCTTCCGTGACTGACAGCTGCTATATTGGCTCATTTGGGGCCTATGATCATGGAAGTAAACAAAATCTCCGTGCTCAATGGCATTGGGCGCTCTGATTGGTAAATATCACCCTGTGCGTTTGTTATGGTTGGATCGCAGACCAATCAGAGTGCATGACACTATTTGAGTGCAGAGATTTTGTGTACTTCAGTGACCGACAGCCATGATTCATGGCCAATATCGTGGCGGTCAACGCCATTGAGTGCAGAGATTTTGTTTACTTCCATGATCAAAGGCCACATTTGATATAGGTAATAAATTGAAAAATAGAAGGTATTGTGAACATGACATGTTAACATTTCCTTTCAATTTAAATGATACAGCTGATTTCAACTTCGGCCCAGATGGTGATTGACATAAACTGTCGATTTTCATTTATGGGTCTGTTGTTTCAGTAATATCACTATCCTGCTTCAGGGGCTTGTGTGGAATCATTGTCTTTCTGTATGACAGGGCGGTCGGGTAGCCTAGTGGTTAAAGCGTTCGTTTGTCACGCCGAAGACCCGGGTTCTATTCCCGACATGGGTACAATGTGTGAAGCCCATTTCTGGTGTCCCCGCCGTGATATTGCTGGAATATTGCTAAAAGCGGCGTAAAACCATACTCACTCACTCACTCACTCACTCACTCACTCACTTTCTGTATCACTATGGGGGCGGTCGGGTAGCCTAGTGGTTAAAGCGTTCGCTCGTCACGCCGAAGACCCGGGTTCGAAGTGTACACTTTTACTGATACTATGCAAGTTGAACCAGTGTGCAAATGAACCCAGAGTCAGTGTATAGAGAATCTCACCGAAGTGACTTCCATTAGTCAACATATCAACAGGAGACATTAAAAGTTTAAAACTCTGAGACTTGCAGAGGACTTTTATTAAACTTTTATTGACAAGTGTCGATATATTTCCAAAGACTCAATGGTGAGATTCTATTTCCATCCAAAATCTTTCTTCCAACTTTTTCAGTTTGTGAACAGTAATTAATTTCATTGTCTGAAGTGTAAAAAGTACAGCCAACCAGCCTCAGATGTGGCGAGATCAGTGATGTCATTTGATTGTGATGTCATTTGATTGTGATGTCACAGTAAGCAATGACATCATTATGGTCTGCAGTGCATTGTGATGCAGTCTTGATCTCACCCAACACTCATCTCCTTTTGGATGATAAAACATACAACATACTTAATTAAGGATTGACTGTGTATTTTTTTCGGTTCATTGAGGTATGAATCGAAAAACAATTTGCAAACTGTATGAATCCGCGTAGCGGATTCTTACAAAAGTTTGCACATTGGTTTTTCGATTCATACCTCAATGAACCGAAAAAAATAGACAGCCAATCCTTATAATTAAATTTGACAGCATAAAACATGTTTTATCTACAATAGTTTAACCAAAAACAGTTGTATATATCAAAACAGACAAAAATGGCGAGATTGATAAACATTCCAGGTGTAGGAATATATACTGTGGCGTGACATGAATCAGGTGATTGTTTAATTTATGCACATAAATTGACACGCCTACACTGTCAGTAACCAATCAACGGAGAGCAGGATCAAAACAATGTTCATTGGACCTGTCAGTTAAGACAAGTGGCGAAAAGAACTGCAACAGTCAGACTGTAACGAACTGGAAGAAATATGTCCGAGAGAAGGCGGCTGTTTTAAAATTACATGGTCAGTTACCGCCAGATTAAAACATTACCTCCTTGATTACAGTAAAACACGGTTGGAAAAATGCTAGTTAGAAAGGAAACCCGAAGCCATGAAAGTTGAACCGAGGCGAGCAGAAAAAAAACAGGCGAGCGAGCCTGCACGTTTGCTGTTTCATTCATTCTCGGCCTTCGGTTTCAAAGGTTTGTTTTGACAATGAATATGCATGAAAGTCGCTAAATGTCCTGTGCATGACGATACACGTGAGCAGAAAGAGATCCCTCGGCTGTAATATTTGGATTCCCCGACATTCCGAAGTAATAAAAGAAGTGCGCCTCGGTGGGCGTGGCTTAATTTTTTTACATTTATTGGGAAATGAATGCAATAACACGTGACCAATTCAGCTAATCAGAATGCAGGAATTTCCATGAACACAACAAAAATTTTAATTATTGTGGGATGAAAGGGAAATTAATGTGACACTAGCTGAAGCCATTTACAGATATTGTGAACGGTGTTGGCTGAAGAGCGTGTTTTTGCGTCTTGGACGCACAAATATGAGTTTGAACGCACCTGCGTAACGTGTGGATCTCGTGGAGGCAGTGACTGGACCATTATTAAATGGCCACTGTGATTGTAAATCAAAGACGTACGTCTTTGCGTAAAAGTTATATATTGCCAAACAAAACAGCAAAACATGTTGATAAACACTTCCGTTTGCTAAATCAAACCAGTTTTATTATCCTCACCCTTCTTACGACAAATACCCAAACCGGTTTCTTGACCTATATCTTTTTCGGTTTTGCATTTTTTAATGTTCGCTATGGTCCGTAGGTTTGCTTCAGCCAATCAGGTGCCACATAATAAGCCGCTCGGCTATATTCGTAATTCGTAATCATGATGATACTAACAGGCCATGAGGATCATATTCATAATCATATTGATCATGTCTGTTAAGGAAATCGAACCCATCATTGTCAAACAAGGGAAGTAACTCATCATAGTGACTTGTGGCACCTAAGACTACAATGCATAATCCCCCCCCCCCCATTTAATGAGAGGGAATCGGTTTTGAAGTTGGTTATTAATAAAATGAAGTCTTTACTTGAATGAGATATTTAGGAAATGTTAATCAGGTTATCCTTTATTTTTATAGACATAATCATCTGGTTTTAGTTGTATGTCAATATTATCATCAGGGTTAGCGTAAGTTTTGGTTAAGCAAATTAACTAGAGCAACTATACAGATAGATGTTGTCTAAGCGAAACCTTAAAACTGAGTTTTGGTTTATCATGTCATGTGTCATAATTTAGTCCTGGGCCCACTTGCACAAAGCGATCTTAGCGCTAAGACTATCGTAAGCCCATGTTAAAGTATGGGAGTTACGATCATCTTAGCGCTAAGATCGCTTTGTGCAAGTGGGCCCTGGTGCAGTCGGGGACATGGGTTGACCAGTTACCTTTGCTGCTGTGATATGCTCTGTGTCCCTTAGACATGCCAGAAACTTGATCATCGGTTTGATTCCTGTTCACCATGATTATGTGGCATCATTTCAGATTTCATCTCGCATCAGCATCGGCGGACACAGTGATGTGACCTAAGTTCTGTTCAAAGTGCCATTAAAACCAACTCACTTACTTGCAATATCTTTACTTCATTGTTGTTATTTACATTTCAGATACCAGACTCTGTTACCGGCTTCTATCTCGGCAGAGCAGGTTTTGAGGCGTCAGATCCACGGATGTGAGTACTCAGTAGGCAAAGGCATCAATAGTTTATACCCCATGGGGATTCCGCGTTAGAGTTGGTCCTCAGTAAGAGGCGACTAACTAGATTGTGTGGTCCCCAGCAGCATTGGTCATTGCTCATAATATCAATCACTGGATTGACGGTCCATACTTGATTGTTTATAGGCCACTGTCAATTAGATAGGATGTTGCTGAGTGCGGTGTTTTACACACAAACAGATGAATAAGTGCTTTACGAGTCAGGAAAAATGCTGAACATTGCTGTTATAGACACTACGCATGAAGATCTGGGGTAGAATAGGTCTTCAGCAACCCATGCTTGCTGTAAAAGGTGACTATGCTTGTCGTAAGAGGTGACTAATACGGATCGGGTGGTCAAGCACGCTGGCTTGGTTGGTGCATGTCATTGTATCCCAGTTGCGTGTATCGATGCTCATGATGTCAATCATTGGATTGTCTGGTCCAGACTCGATTATATAGCTGGAATATTGCTGAGTGGGGCGTTAAACAACAAACAAACAAACAAATATTATAGACACCTGCAAGGGGAATCTTGCTTAGAATAGGTCCCAGCAACCTATGCTTGTCTCTTTGTGGGGATTCTGGGTTAGAATGGGCCCCATACCAATGCTTGTCTCTCTCTGTCAGGATTCCGGGGTTAGAATAGGTCTCAGCAACCAATGCTTGTCTCTCTGCGGGAATTCCGGGCAGAATGGGCCCCCAACCAATGCTTGTCTCTGTGGGGATTCCGGGTAAGAATGGGCCCCCAACCAATACTTGTCTCTCTCGGGATTCCGGGTAAGAATGGGCCCCCAACCAATGCTTGTCTCTTTGTGGGAATTCCAGGTCAGAATGGGCCCCCAACCAATGCTTGGCTCTGTGGGGATTCTGGGTAAGGATGGGCCCCCAACCAATGTTTGTCTCTTTGTGGAGATTCCGGGTTAGAATGGGCCCCATACCATTGCTTGTCTCTCTCTGTCAGGATTCCGGGTTAGAATAGGTCTCATCAACCAATGTTTGTCTCTCTGTGGGAATTCCGGGCAGAATGGGCCCCAACCAATGCTTGTCTCTTTGTGGAGATTCTTGGTTAGAATGGGCCCCCAACCAATGCTTGTCTCCCTGTGGGGATTCTTGGTTAGAATGGGCCCCCAACCAATGCTTGTCTCTTTGTGGGGATTCTTGGTTAGAATGGGCCCCCAACCAATGCTTGTCTCTTTGTGGAGATTCTTGGTTAGAATGGGCCCCCAACCAATGCTTGTCTTTGTGGAGATTCTTGGTTAGAATGGGCCCCCAACCAATGCTTGTCTCTTTGTGGAGATTCTTGGTTAGAATGGGCCCCCAACCAATGCTTGTCTCTTTGTGGAGATTCTTGGTTAGAATGGGCCCCCAACCAATGCTTGTCTCTTTGTGGAGATTCTGGGTTAGAATGGGCCCCCAACCAATGCTTGTCTCTTTGTGGAGATTCTTGGTTAGAATGGGTCCCCAACCTATGCTTGTCTCTTTGTGGAGATTCTGGGTCAGAATGGGTCCCCAACCAATGCTTGCCTCTTTGTGGAGATTCTTGGTTAGAATGGGCCCCCAACCAATGCTTGTCTCTTTGTGGAGATTCTTGGTTAGAATGGGCCCCCAACCAATGCTTGTCTCTTTGTGGAGATTCTGGGTCAGAATGGGCCCCCAACCAATGCTTGTCTCTTTGTGGAGATTCTTGGTTAGAATGGGCCCCCAACCAATGCTTGTCTCCCTGTGGGGATTCTTGGTTAGAATGGGCCCCCAACCAATGCTTGTTTCTTTGTGGGGATTCTTGGTTAGAATGGGGCCCCAACCAATGCTTGTTTCTTTGTGGGGATTCTTGGTTAGAATGGGCCCCCAACCAATGCTTGTCTCTTTGTGGAGATTCTTGGTTAGAATGGGCCCCCAACCAATGCTTGTCTCTTTGTGGAGATTCTTGGTTAGAATGGGCCCCCAACCAATGCTTGTCTCTTTGTGGGGATTCTTGGTTAGAATGGGCCCCCAACCAATGCTTGTCTCTTTGTGGAGATTCTTGGTTAGAATGGGCCCCCAACCAATGCTTGTCTCTTTGTGGAGATTCTTGGTTAGAATGGGCCCCCAACCAATGCTTGTCTCCCTGTGGGGATTCTTGGTTAGAATGGGCCCCCAACCAATGCTTGTTTCTTTGTGGGGATTCTTGGTTAGAATGGGCCCCCAACCAATGCTTGTTTCTTTGTGGGGATTCTTGGTTAGAATGGGCCCCCAACCAATGCTTGTCTCTTTGTGGAGATTCTTGGTTAGAATGGGCCCCCAACCAATGCTTGTCTCTTTGTGGAGATTCTTGGTTAGAATGGGCCCCCAACCAATGCTTGTCTCTTTGTGGAGATTCTGGGTTAGAATGGGCCCCCAACCAATGCTTGTCTCTTTGTGGGGATTCTTGGTCAGAATGGGCCCCCAACCAATGCTTGTCTCTTTGTGGAGATTCTTGGTCAGAATGGGCCCCCAACCAATGCTTGTCTCCCTGTGGGGATTCTTGGTTAGAATGGGCCCCCAACCAATGCTTGTCTCCCTGTGGGGATTCTAGGTAAGAATGGCCCCCCAACCAATGCTTGTCTCTTTGTGGAGATTCCGGGTCAGAATGGGCCCCAAACCAAAGCTTGTCTCTTTGTGGAGATTCCGGGTCAGAATGGGCCCCCAACCAATGCTTGTCTCTTTGTGGAGATTCCAGGTCAGGATGGGCCCCCAACCAATGCTTGTCTCTTTGTGGAGATTCTTGGTTAGAATGGCCCCCCAACCAATGCTTGTCTCTTTGTGGAGATTCTTGGTTAGAATGGGCCCCCAACCAATGCTTGTCTTTGTGGAGATTCTTGGTTAGAATGGGCCCCCAACCAATGCTTGTCTCTTTGTGGGGATTCTGGGTCAGAATGGGCCCCCAACCAATGCTTGTCTCCCTGTGGGGATTCTTGGTTAGAATGGTCCCCCAACCATTGCTTGTCTCTTTGTGGAGATTCCGGGTCAGAATGGGCCCCCAACCAATGCTTGTCTCTTTGTGGAGATTCCGGGTCAGAATGGGCCCCCAACCAATGCTTGTCTCTTTGTGGAGATTCTGGGTTAGAATGGGCCCCCAACCAATGCTTGTCTCTTTGTGAAGATGGCGGGTCAGAATGGGACCCAAACCAATGCTAGTCTCTCTGTGGAGATTCTGGGTTAGAATGGGCCCCCAACCAATGCTTGTCTCCCTGTGGGGATTCTGGGTCAGAGGGGGCCCCCAACCAATGCTTGTCTCTTTGTGGAGATTCTTGGTTAGAATGGCCCCCCCAACCAATGCTTGTCTTTGTGGAGATTCCGGGTTAGAATGGGCCCCAAACCAATGCTTGTCTCTTTGTGGAGATTCCGGGGCAGAATGGGCCCCCCAACCAATGCTTGTCTCTTTGTGGAGATTCTGGGTCAGAATGGGCCCCCAACCAATGCTTGTCTCTTTGTTGGGATTCTTGGTCAGAATGGGCCCCAAACCAATGCTTGTCTCCCTGTGGGGATTCTTGGTCAGAATCGGCCCCCAACCAATGCTTGTCTCCCTGTGGGGATTCTTAGTTAGAATGGGCCCCCAACCAATGCTTGTCTCTTTGTGGAGATTCTTGGTTAGAATGGGCCCCCAACCAATGCTTGTCTCCCTCTGGGGATTCTTGGTTAGAATGGGCCCCCAACCAATGCCTTCGTGGTCTAATGGTAGAGCGTCTGCCCGGAGAGCGGAAGGTCCGGGGTTCGATCCCAAGCCACGTCATACCAAAAGACGTTAAAAGATGGTACTTGTTGTTACCTTGTCTGGCACTCGGCATTAAGGGGCTAAAACAAGGACTGGTCGGCTCGGAGTCAGTATACTGTGTCTGATTGGGGCATCATGTTAAACTGCGACATGGTATCCCAGTGAGCTAGCACTATAAATCAGCATCAGTCCAGACTAGTACAAGCAGCCACACACACTAACATGCATGCAGGTCGCTTTATAAGTGCAATTATCTTTGACGCGACGTTAAACCCCATTTCACTTCACCTCACTTGTTGTCCCAGTTTATCAACACAGAGATTTCTTTCGTTTGTTTCAGAATCCGTCTCATCTCTTTGGCAGCCCAGAAGTTCATCTCGGACATTGCGAATGATGCTCTACAACATTGCAAGATGCGGGCCTCAGGTCAGAGCTCCAAGAAACAAGGGAAGGTGCGTCACTTGTCTTTCCCTCTTAACCATGTAACCATGGTAATGGAATCCTTTTTGAAATGCTAGTTTAATCTTGTGGACCTAGTTCTACAAGTGATCTTAGCGCTACGACTGTCCTGAGCCTGTGCTAAAGTATGGGAATAACGATCCTCTAATGCTAAGATCGGTTTCAAGGGTGGGTCCAGTGTTTATAAAAGGGAGGGGTCAGATGCAGCATTTTTAAAAGGGAGTCCAAAATAAATATCAAAATCCTCCCTCAGTTTACTGCCCACAACATTTGGTTTTAAAGGGGCAGGGGGGACCCCCCTACCCAAGAGTCTTCCCACTTGTAACAAAATCTCTCCTTTTTTTTCCCAGGACAAGAAGCATATTTTGACAATGGAAGACCTGACACCTGCGCTATCGGAGTATGGAATAAATGTAAAGAAGCCATGCTACTTCTACTGAAGACCATGGCAACAGTCACGCTTGTGTCATTGTACTGTCATTGCTCATGGAACGTTTTCAAGGATCGTTGACTTTTTTAAATATTTCGGGTTCTTCCAGGTGCTGAGTGACTAACAGACAGAGATATATGCATGTCTCTTCAAGACGTTGTTGAATCAAAGGTACTCTTCACAATAATTTGAAAAGAGCACGGATACTGTTGAAAAGTCTTTGATTTCATACTGTTTTGGTGAACTAGGTTAGAACGTGCAGATGGTACCCTATTCTTTAAGTAATTCCTGGAGATGTTAGTACCAGTAATGTGTGTATATTTTGAAACCTGAAGGTCATGACCTTTGATCTAACGTCAGTTAAAACAGTGTATAAGTATCTGTATTTACCTGGAATGATTGTAAATATTTAGGGGCTTGTGCCATGTTTGGTGATGTACGAGTTACCACTAGTCTACGTTCAGGGAAATACCATTGCATCATCCATCCTAGGTATCTATTCAGCTGGGACTATCACATAGCCTCTGGAAATCAAAGCCATACTATTTATTGGGCTATATTTCTATTGCTGTCATGGTATGCTACATTTTCAATGTTATACTACTAAAAACATTTAAGGAACATTTCATATAAGGATTCTTTCATATTGCTGAAGTTAATCTGTCATACAACAAGTACAATGACAGATTCCTTTCATAATCCGAATCGGGTGGTCCTTTATTTTTTTTTAGTAGTTTTTTTCACACTGGTTCTTAATTAGTTGCTCTTGTGAAATGTTACATCATGATGATTGTCTTTGTTACCATGGTAACGTGATGCTCTGGTGAGATGTAGGTACTGCAGTTACCATGGTAACTGGATACACAAGAGTTGCAGATTCATCTGTCGTGTCAAATTGAACCTCCATCGAAATGTAGGTACCTGTGTTACCTTGGCAACTGGATGGGTGAACGGTACTTGTATTACCATGGCAACTGGATAGGTGAACGGTTCTTGTATTACCATGGCAACTGACATCCAAGAAGGGCCGTTGTTCCTGAATAAGGTTGTATATAGTTCAGTGGTTGTACAGTGGTTGTATCAACCAAAGTTTGCAGGTGTTCACAAGGCAGTTGCCAGCACCAGAAGATGCAGGTGTTCCAACTAGACAGGGCTGCACCTGAGACTTCTCAAAATCTACTTTTTTTCTCCTATTTTCTACACGAGTAGTCGAAAATGAGCAGTGCATTTCATGCACAGATATTTCAACCAAATCTCCCCATGTTACCATGGCAACTCTCATCAACACATGTCCCAAGTAACAACGCACCTGCTGGGCACCCTAGACAAATTAATGAAGTACTTTAAAAAAATTCTTGCTGTTCATGTCGTTCTTTGAGTCTTACTAGTACCTGTAGTTGACTAGCACCACCAAGCCAAGCCTGCAGCGGCCTGACAAAATAAGTTGATTTCATCATTGGTAGGGGGCAAGGGTGGCCCAGTCGTCTAAGGCGCCATGATTCGCTGTGCAGAGTTGCGTCCCTTGGGGACACCAGAAACCTAAGTTTGTTGGTTCGAATCCCGGTTTGCCCCGATTATGTTTCTAGGTTTGTCAGCACCATACCCGTCCTCGTGGGTTTCACCAAAGTGGTAAACGTCAGAGACCTGCATCACTTTGGGCTTTCCTCCCACATTAAGCTGACACGTCGTGATATAACTGTAATACTGTTAAAAGCGGTGTTAAACCCAACTCACTCACTCATTCACTCATCATTGGTAAATAGTAGCTGAGCGAACTGAGTGAGTGCTGTACTGCTGTGTTCATACCATCTCAGTAACAGTGGAGGAATGGTAGTCACTCATGGATTTCAGACACAGGGGGTCATTTTTGTGAATTGCTCCCAGTTGTTCAGCTCAATTTGTTTTACAAATATTAGCCATTGTCATTCTTGATATCTGGGCACAAGCTCCTCACAGCAATAGCTCGCTCGCCCGTTCGCGGAGCTCTCTAGACTATCGCTGCCACCAGTCTAATCTCCCCACTGTGATAGGTGACCACAACCATGCTTGGAGTTGACAGAGCGTTATGTTTACAAACAAGTGATTAAATTCTTTTCTTTGTTTGTCAATTTGAATTTCTGTTTCATTACAACTATCATGTGATTGGTACAGTAAGAATGTAATGGGGAAGTAAAGTGATGTTCCGTTACTCTGCAATCCCGAAACAATCTGATTATACAAACAAAAAAGTAAATTCATCTGGAAAACACGGTCAGTCATAAACCTTTTCAAAATGTACTATGGTGACATTCCCAAAGATATACACAAAGTGTAAGCGTTTCTACATTTGGGGTTAGAGGGCAAATTTCAAGGTTCTTGTAACGGCCGCGCCCACACTGGTGGCAGCGATGTTACCGAGAGTGTAACGAAGGTGTCACGCGCTCGGAAGGAGCTTGGTCAGGGCAAGTTGAGGGGAGGTAACTCTTCAGGTATTAATGTCCAAACATACCTGTAGCGGGAGGATGTGAAGGTGTTGATGGCATCATGGACCTCTGATTGTCTTTTCATAGGGTTTCCATTGTTAGGGTCACATGTTTGCTTCATGTTTTATTTTCTATGAAAATGACTCATTTCCTGTAGATATGATGCAGATTTCAAGCTGAGGTAGATTTGGTGCAGAATGGGTTGGGGTAGCCTAGTGGTGAAGGGTTAGCTCATCACACTGAAGGCCAGAGTTTGAAGCCCCACATGGGTTCCATGTGTGAAGCCCGTTCTTGGTTTCCATCAGGGTTATGTGGTTGGAAACTTTCTAAACTGAGTGAAAAGCAACCCACTGGTACAAAAAGAACATAAATTTTCTTTCAACAGAATGTGAATTTGTTGGCACATTGGACCATGTTGATTCTGTTCATCTGTTTGGTGTCTTTGTCGATCATCCTAAACTGGCATCCACATGAGATAGCATTTTGTTTGAGATAAAAACTGCATCACAATGCATTGCCGACCATTATGACGTCCTCAGTTGCCGTGATGTCACGATCAAAGGACGCACCCAATCTCTCTGCCACTGAGGCTGTTTATCTGCCCTCTAGACCCCGGTTAATTGCTGTTTACAAACCGAAAAAGATGGAAGTATGATTTCAGATGATAAATTGCATGTCACCCTCATGTCTTCCATGGCTAGAAATGATCAATATGGGTTGATAAAAGTAAATATCCTAGACAAGCCTCGGATATTTGTAACCTTTATGAAGTCAACTTGATGTATTTGATCTGGGAAGACACTTGGGTGACATTCTCGTTGTGATTACCGTAACAGGCGACTGCTTGTTGTAAGAGGAAACTAATGGGATTGGGTGGTCAGGCTTGGTGACTTGGTTGATGGGTTGTCATGGTATCCCAACTGCTTAGATCGAAGCTCATGATGTCAATCACTGGATCGTCAGGTGCAGACTCGATTATTTACAGACTGCTGTATGGCTGGAATATTGCTGAGTGCGGCATTAAACAACAAACCAACAACAAACAAACATCTTAACTTGTCTGGAACAAGTAGGAACGTGTTGTGGCACATCTTGCCCTCTATGATAACACCACCATTGTGTCTATCACATCATGCTGACAACATGGTAGCTACTTTTGTGAAATGTATTCCCTATTTGCATGTCATTATTTGGTGGCTGTATTTTTTTTGGATGTTTGTGAGATACCAGATATGTTTGTAAGAAAGTCGTGACCTACTTTCAACACTTTCCAGTCTTTGCTTAACTTCATCTTGAAATATCTCCAAATCAATTTTCAGAATTTATGATTACTTTTATGCAATTTTTCCCATTTTCTGCTGCCTGCTTTAAGAAATTTCCTTCAGTAGTCTAGAGGGGCGGTCGGGTAGCCTAGAAGTTAAAGCGTTCGCTCGTCACGCCGAAGACCCGGGTTCGATTCCCGACATGGGTACAATGTGTGAAGCCCATTTCTGGTGTCCCCCGCCGTGATATTGCTGGAATATTGCTAAAAAAGCGGCGTAAAACCATACTCACTCACTCACTCAGTAGTCTAGCTCAGCCTGAAATAATGTCTAGTTTCCACTGCACAGTGAAGACCTGACTGCAGGGAAGAGAGCCTGTTCTTTTGTGTTCGGGGCAGGCTGTAGTCCTGATGCCAGTGTGAGAAAGTCTGTGTTGTTCATATGAAATGGCATCAGATGTATTCAACAAACTGTTTGACATTATTAGAAATGATATGTTTTTATTCTTATTCTAGGTGAGGCATCATGTTAATTAGGACAGTTATCGTGCACTAGTTGTTATGCAGCATGTAGCCAGCCTTTGAATTTCCCTCTAGTCCACTAACCCGTGACTACTAAATTGTGGCGAGGGCAAACAACAATTCAATGATGGTAGTCCTGATTGACCAGTAGCATTTGAGGGCAGTAATCCCAAACCAGTTCTCAAAGCTTCAATTTTGCCCCAAATTGGAACTGAAAATGTTAGCATTTTTGTCTCTTTAGCAGGACTAGCTTCAGACTGTGACGACTGGTGAAATAAGGCTTCCACTTGTAGTCTGTACTTGTCTGACAACAAAGTGAATTTCTAAGGCTGTGTATCTCTATAACAGGTTTATGATCCGTCACCTGGGCCCACATGCACAAAGTGATCTTAGCGCTATGAATATCTAAGGCCTACGTTAAAGAATTGGTATTACAATCATCTCAGAGCTAAGATCGCTTTGTGCAAGTGGACGCAGATGTGATACCTAAAAGGTTGATGTGTACGAAAACATTTCCGTCATTATGGGTAATTATCACTACCCCAAGTAAAACATTACTAGGTTGGAGTCAATTAATTAAACAGTGACTTGGTACCTCTTCACTTGCAAGCAGAAAATGGTATTGTATATCACCTTTATATCTCACCTATATATTTGTATGGATACATGGCTTACCGATGCGATACACATTTTTCAGCACAGAATAGCAATGCACTGAAGATTCAGTGACTTGTTTCACCCCTAATGATAACAGTTATCAGGGTATGAAACTCCCAAAGATTTCAGCCAGACCACAGGACTGGCTAGCTGAAATACTTGCCAGCCCTGACCAAAACCTGCCTGCCCACTATAATCATATGTTTCTCAGGATAAGCTAACGGGGTTTCTTTTTGGTTACATTTTATCATTCATCTTTACATGTGAATTAATGCTTATCATCGGGAAATATTTAGAATATTTTCACATATGAAATATAACCCGACCGTTGGGCAGGGGGATTTGAAAATCTGGCAGCCCGAGTTGAAATCAACCCATCTCGGACGGTCGGGCAGGCAGGTATTTCGAACACTGCAGTTATCATACATTATACAATCAGGATTCTTTTTACTCAGAAGAAAATCATGAACACATCAATCTCATAAAAATCAGATCTTTTACTCCGATGGATACCTCTGCGTGAAGATCGGGTGACCTTTCCACCGTAGCTCACATCAGGTGAATCGTGACCGAACATTGGTCACCCAATCGAAATGAAGGGTCAGTGGGTGCTTCAGCCAATCAGATTCACTCATTCTTTACAACCTTGTTTTTGAAAATTAGCAACAGAAATTCACAACAGATCATGATATACCCTTGATAGTACACCGTTTTGTGTTGTATTATATTACGACAATATGATTGCATGGCTTTTCTTTTTTCCATTCTGAACTCCCCAGTTGTGTTCATTTTCAAGATACAGAAGTCTGATATGCTTGTGTGGTTGGCTGATTAAGAGGTTCACCAGACCACATCTTACTCAGGTTTTGTCAGATCTTCATGCAGAGGGGTATCCTTTTGGGATAAAAGATATAATTTTAATGTGATTGTGAAAATGGTGATTGTTAACTGACCTCAAGAAATGGATGAGAGCAGTGACGTCCATTAATAAACGGGTAAAATAGACTTGTATTGATACATGCCGAATCCCATAATCATCATGATGGATTTGAGGTTGATGAGACCAAATGTTGTGTGTTAGCAACTTATGGACACAGTCTGGGTTTGAATCCCCAATAGGATATCAAGTGAAGGTCATTTGAGTTCCCTTGTCTGATGAACCAAAATTACAAACACAGAATAAGTTAATCACCTCTTCATCATGTAGCCAGTGATAAATGGATGTTTCTGAACAATGAGGGATGGTCGGGTAGCCTAGTGGTTAAAGCGTTCGCTCGTCACGCTGAAGACCCGGGTTCGATTCCCTACATGGGCACAATGTGTGAAGCTCATTTCTGGTGTCCCCCGACGTGATAGTGCTGGAATATTGCTAAAAGCGGTGAAAACCCAACTCACTCACTCTAAACAATTTGTTTTTTTCTTGTCAGAAAACATGTTTATCTTAATGACCAAAGAAGTTGACGTTTTCACAAGTGGCTACCTCACTCAGGAAGTGAGCAACTTTGTCAGGATACTGGATGAGATATAAACATGGTAAGAAAGAGAATTGATGGATGACAACTTCTTCATTATGAGGAACACATCAGGTGAAGGAGTAAGTATATACTCCGAAACGAGTTCATCATAATACAGAAGTTGACATCCAAAAATTCTCTTCCTTATGTGTATCACTTCCTAAGTGCAATT